GGGGTGCCCTGGTTGTTGAATATAAACCTTTTTTTTTTTTTTTTTTTTTTAAATATCAGCCAGGAGAGGAGTGCAAGAGTTACACAGGAAGACTTAAAAGATTTCTTTTGTGCTTTTTCTGCTCTCGTTGATCATTTTCGTCCATCCCTTCAAATCCATTGAGCCGCAAATTCCAGTTTGGTCTCAGCGCCAGTCCTCGTCGTTGTCGTCCTCCTCCGCCTCTGACGAGTCCTCCTGGCTGCTGGGCTCCCCCTGGGTCTCGGCTCCGTTCCCGCCTTGGTGGGATGCCGCCGCCGCTACCGCTAACAAGGCTTCCTTGCGGGCTTGGGCAGCCGCCGCTGCCGCCGCCGCCGCCTGCTCCTCCGCCGCCCGTTGGCGCAGAGCCGCGGCTTTCTTCTCTTGCTCGGCGTGGCTCTTCATGTGGGCGCTGCGACTCTTCACTTTGTTGAACACCCTGACGCACACCGGAACAACAGTCAGGACACGGAGTCCCACGCTTAATGTTAACCAAAGTGGACTTTCTGCGACGGCTTTGGTCGTACCTGCCGCACTTCTTGCATGGAAATACTGCGTCAGGATCTGGAGTGGGCTTGACTGGCGCTTTTGTCTTCTTTGCTGCAGTGTCGTTGCGAGGCCTGTGCGGACCTGATGTGTAGGCAGCATCCTTGACAACGTTCTCTGGCTCTTTGACCACCAGCATAGTACCCGCCTGGAGAACAAGTTGCTTTGTCATTGTTGAGAAGACTGCACAAAATATGAAAGAGGATCTCTTCCTAGCAATAACTGCTGTCCTTATCCAAATGTTGTCCTTTTAATCGGAAAACCTTATTTAGTCATAGTTAGCTGTGGTAAATAAAATTCCCTTCTTGTAAAAAATTATATTGGATTTTGAGACCAGAAATAGAATGCTTGGATTCTAATATCGATCTTTACATGAAATATGAACACATTATTTCACGACCAATTCACGCTACCAGTCCAACACTCACATAGTCATGAGCCTGAAGTAACTGCGCTACCATTGCTTGCTGGTTGTTCTGCTGCTCAGACGAAAGCTCCTTCTTGTCGTCCGTGTGCAGGTGCGTGGGTTTAGATTGCTGAGAGCTCTAAGGAATCACAAAAGAGTCACAAAGTAGGTCCAAAGGTGACGACTTTTAAAAGACTCATTTTCGGTGATGTCATATAAAATAGAAATCTCTCCTTGCCCACACGCGAGAGCATTACAGTAAATCATTGGATCGAGTAAAACTGCCATCTATGTACATGTTCTTGAATAAACGACTTATTCCATGCGCCTCCCAAAAAGTGAAAAGGCAAAGCAATTTCTACCTTAATGTCCACCACAGCCTCTGTGTATTTATCCACAGGCGAGTTTGAAGGGCCGTAGGTCAAAATCCCATTGCGGGCGATCTTGACTTGCTTTTTGTACGTGTAGTAGAACTCAACACACTGGGCCACTGTTTTGGTCTGCACCTGAAAAGGAAAATAACACCCGTGAAGACTTTCTGTCACCATCCATTCACTATCGGCAGAAAAAAATGGCAACTTGTCAACTTGTGTGGGCAAAAGTGAAGAGGCGCACCAGCTTCTGCACCAAGATGAAATCCTTGCAATAGGCAGACATCCCTTTGTTGAAGTAATGCTTTTCCTCAGCACTCCACCGATCGGCGCCTGCAAGAAAATCCCGTGGGGAAGTGTCATGAAAGTGAAATCGGCGGAATGACGACACTAATGTTTAGGGGAGAAACAAAAAATGAGGGTCTCCTTTGCTACTTCCAGCATCCGATTTCTACCCTCATTTTGGCAGTTATGGGCGTGGTTTCAACAGAGCCCAAGTTGAAGTGAAACTAAACACTTGCACTCCCTGAAGACTTTGGCTCGATTTAGAATCATCGCTCATGGATTCCTATCAAGAGGCCTGCATCGTTCCACCCATTAGTCAAACAAAAAAGCAATCTTCAAACACCACTCAGGCCAAACTTTAATGACGTCATTGCTGTTACGTAATCACAACGTATCGGATCACTGTCAGCAGGTTTATTTTTTTCAGAAACAATGTCCCAGGATTTCAAGAAACTCAAAGTATTTATTGGACTGCGAGTTGAATTTCCCCTTGACGGACTATAATGTGTAAACTAAATACAAATTCAAAATATTGTATCTCAAAGTAGTACTGAAGAGTCAGCAAGTCGTAAACGCATCTGACACAACTAACCTGAGTAGTGATAATCTGCCAGTTGATGGCCTTTCGGGAAGATTGGACCCTGATGCAGTAAACGTCGGAGGGTCTCCTAAACAAAACAAACCCCATAAAACTCCAAATACTGCAGGAAATCAAATACAAACTCTAAGACGTTTGCATGTTGAAGTAGCTGACATTATGATGGCATTGTGCCCTCCATTTTCAGGGGTCAGAGCGCAAATACAATCGATAAATCGCTGCGACAATTATCAACTCACAATGAAATCGCCTCCACTTTCATGTAAACAATGCAGAGCCAGCTCCTGGTTGGTTCCTCCTCCGCTGAGCACACTGGAACAAGCCATGTTCATCAGGTTCTCCACTAGAAAGGACAACATGAGGATGAGGAGGAGGAGGAGGCGGAGGAAGAAGAGGATGTGAGTGAGTGGGCAGATGGCGATCCAGAACAAGTGAAAACAACATTCTACGAAAGCGACGAACCACTCTCCGCGTCTCTCTGTTCAAGCTGGCCATCATGCAAAGGAAGCCAAACCAAGTCGGCCTTGTGCGGGTCAAACTGAGCCAAAGGCTGGTGTCGCAACTCGGGAATTTCCGCTTGGTACGGCTGCCCGATGTTGATGCGCCTGCACGCAAACGGAAGCGGTGGGTGAGACGCTGGCGCGGTGGCGGCCGCCTCGAGGCTTTGCGTGTGAAAATCCAGCTTACGGCTCGAGGCTGACAGGCGTGGCGTCAGTGATCAAGGGCAGAACCGGCGGTGTGATGTCTGAACTTGCTGGAGAAAAAAAAAAAACCCAAAACAAAACAGAAACAAAATAAGATACAGTATGTGGTGAATTGGATGGCGCCAGGTTGCTCCAAAACTCCCACACAATGGAAAGCTTTAGTGTTAATTTGATGTCCTTGATATTCGTCTTAAGGTCCGATCGAAACTCAAATGGTTTCCCAGACCCACACAAGACTGGGCGGAGGACTTACTGGAGCGCAGGAGGCTTCTGGTGGCCGTCTTGGGCGTCGCAAGCGGCGGGAGGATCTGGTTGCTCACGGCAAAGTTGGTGAGGAAAGTGGAGAAGTAGAGTCCCGAGCCTTCTCGTACGGGGGATAGGATGGGCGGGGGCGTATAGGGGGGCAAGGCGAGCGGGTTGTCTGGCAAGCGCACGGGGGAGCGCAGGTTGCTTTGGTAGGCGGTGATGCTGGAGTAAACGGACGCCGGGATCAGCGTGGAAGGTCTGGGCGGAGGGATGATGAGAGGCTCGGGCCGGGGTCTGCGCTTTTGTTTGGTTTTTCCTTCGTCGTCCAGTCCGGGATCATTCTCTCCGTCCTAGAGTGAGCAAGAAGAGAATTTACGGATCTGGCGTGAAAACAAACACTCTGGTACCACATGTAGTGTATTTCCCCAAATAGCTGGAACAATTGATGCCATTCAGCCAATCAAATAAGCATGCCAAATATGTGACATTCGATCCTGCTCTAAATGTGCAAAAGCAAAGCTAAATCTTAAGTCCTCCAAGAAGCAACCTGCTCAAAGTTGTCTGTCACCGAGTTTCTGAGAGATCTGCGGCGAGCCACGATGACGGACGGTTTGCAGTCAGACGTCACCGAGGGCCGCTCGGCCTGGCCCGCTCGTCCGTGTGCCGGCGCGCTGTGACCGGGTAGTGGAAGCCTGTGAACTGGCACTGACACAGGCATGATTAAAGGGACCATGGTGGCGTGTTTGCCTCGAGGAACGTCTCCCTGTTGTGGAACAGAAGCAAAGCAAAATGTATTATACAGACAACAATCAACCATTTTTAATCACAGAAGAATTCCAAATGTATTTTGGTTTTCAGACCCAATGACAAGGATGTGACAAAACTATTTTGAGGAATTTGTGGCTTATATTACACTTTTTGGAGAATGTATGCCAAAAAAAGTTAATTCAAATAACAGTATTGTGTTTTTTTTTAGCAATTAATTATGCTGAGGAATATATTTTCAGAACCAGTACAAACATAACTAAACAGTATTGGTTTTTTTTTTAGCAATTAATTATGAGGAATATATTTTCAGAACCAGTACAAACATAACTTTTTCATGTCCAAGTACTCTAAAAGCAAAGCATATGCTCCACGTTCACTCCCACATAAAAAGCACAAGATAACTGCTACAGACTTGTCATGAATTATTAACTGACTCATGAAATGCTTCATTTTGAATCAAAAGACGGCAGGATCGGCCCGGCGGTCAAATGTGCGTTGTGAACGGCAAAGCGAAAGCATTTCGGTGCGTTCCGGGCAACGAGGCAGTGCAACTGTTCAGGCCGGCCCCTCCCTTGGAGTTCTCAATGGCTGAGCGGGAGCCTGAGGAATGTGGAGGTGTGCAGACACGCAGCGGCCACCGCGCACTTGTGTGCAACAGCACAATGACTTGCACTCCCATAAATCGTATACCTGCACCCAGTCGATGCGAGTGAAATTTACTCATTATTGCGGTCAGTTAGGGAAGCTGCAAGGGAGAAAATACAAGCGGGTGCTCCACTGGCAATGTCAACACGTAAGGTATGAATGCTCAGCTACAAGACAATTAACTGAGACATTAAAGAGGCCACATGCAACATCTCATGAGAACCAATTGGAAATGTCGGCCTTTTACAAAGACTGCGTCAAAGAAAGGAAAATTGCTTTCCTCAGACACCTTTGTGAGAGTCAGAATAGAGCGCAATGCAGTTCCAGACTAATACAAACTATTCCTGAGCATGATTAGCAATCATTCAGTGCCTAGATAGATTTTTTTTCTACGTGCAATTTAGTGTGAAAAGGCTTTGTTATTTAAAATGTTTTTTTTTTTAAAATATACTGCTCGATATATGCGGATATACTATATATTGGAAGTTATTAAACTGACCCAATGTTGTTGTCAGTTTGAGCACTATCACGGCTGCTTTTCTGCACAAATGCTTTGAGAAGTGTCATAGGCAAGTTGGCACAGGGGACTGCAAAACTCGGAATAAACAAAACCAAGAAAGTGGTGATGAAAGACTTGGGAGGAAGTTCAACGCTGAACTAGGGAGTTCTTCCTCTTTAAACCTAACCTACAGCTTGCCTTTTGTCACTCTAACTCACTGCATGTTGGACAAACTTACATTTGACAGGTTGCTAATTAACAAGTATATTAAATATACATGTGATAAGGGATTTTTTTTTTTTAAACCAAAGCATTGTGAACTAGGGTACACCCTGAATTGGTCACTAGCCAATCACAGGGTGCAAACAGACAAAAGTAAAGCCTTCGATGAAGCTATAATGCATGTCTTAGTAATGTGGAAATACAGCGTGATAAACGGTCAAAAAACAGAAGTGATGTAGTCAAGGATTTTTAACCTCAGTTTTGCAAGCCGACAGCGATTCAGGCATGGAGGGCATCTCGGACGCCTTCTGGGCAAGAGTCTCCAGGTTGATCTCCTTGGACGCCCTCCGTTTCCTCCGGGTGCTCTGGATGACACCCCCCGTCGCGGCTGCGGCGTCCCCTGGCGGTGCAACCTGCTGCACAGATACTCCATTCTGGGAGCTTTCTTTGGGTGCTTGAGGCCACATGTTGGTCGAAGGCGGGGCCAACGGGGACTCGCCGTCTCTGGAAATGCGGCGCGAGCGTCTCGGGATGGCCGGCGTTGCGTCCGAAGGTTCCAAGGGGTATGGCTCAGGTTGGACTTCGTTTGGCGGCTCTGCTATCGGCGCTGCTTCCTTTTTGGACACGACATCAGGCGGACAGGGTTCCGAAGGCTGATAGGTGACGAAATTAGGAGGTTGCGTGTCCTGCTGCTGGGGGATGTTTTGTCCTTGCTGCTGCTGATGCATTTTGTGCATTTGTTGCTGTCGCTCATGTAGCTGCTGCTGCTGCTGCTGCTGTTGTTGATGATACTGTTGTTGCATATGCTGCATTTGTTGCTGTTGCATTTGCTGCTGTTGCTGTTGCTGCTGCTGCTGTTGTTGAAGTTGCTGCTGCAGCTGTAGTTGGTGCTGTTTCTGCAACTGCTGCTGCTGTTGCAACTGCTGCTGCTGCATGTGGTGAAGCAGCTGTTGTTGTTGCTGTTGCGTTTTGGGCTGCTCGCCGTAAGGCAAGCCCTGCATTCCCTTGTTGCCCGGGTAAACCGAGTAGTATCCCTGCGAGAACTGCTGCTTGTTGAACGTTGTCTGGAAGGGCTGCAGGATGGAGCCCTGCATGTTGTGAGCAGGCACGTGGGCCGCACCCTGCAGCTCCACGCTTTTGTGCTGATAGGCCTGCAGCTGGGCCTGCTGCATGGCATGCTGCTCCCATTCCAGCCCCCTGGCCTGAGCTGGAGCCCGGGGTGAATCTCTGTAAACCTGCTGATTTTCGCTGCCCATCTGAAGAGGGTCGTGGACTACCTTATGGAATGCCATTTGCCCTCGGGCGTTCACGCCACCCATATACGCCCCAAAGTTCTGGCTCCAACCTGGCACAGGAGCTTCCTGAGGCCAGCTGGGAGCTTGTAAGGAGTCCTGGTGCACCCACTTTACCGGGGCCACCTGCTGATAAGGAGGGAGAACCTGAGGCCCTTTCTCTGGGTTGTATACACCAGAGCTGCCAGCTGAGTCACTCTGGATTGACTCCAAAGACGGAGGACCTAGTCCGTAATAAACCTCCCCTGAATGCTGCAAGGGCTCTTTCATTGCCGCCACTGCCCGATGCTTGCTGCTCTTGTCAGTACTCATTTGAGGAGGAAGACTCATGGCGAGAAGATCTTGACGTCCGCGTCTCGTAGTGGGCTTTTACTTCCTGCGCTTGCCTTTTGTACTCAGATGGCATGTGGAAGGATCAATCCGAAAGGAAGTGTAGAATCTCAACTCAAGTTTGAAGCCTTTTCTTCACATCCTCTTTAGGGTGCCGCACCTTTAAAAACATGACACTTTATTTACCCCCGGAGAAAAGCAGAAAGTAAATAGGAAAATGGAGGCCCAGGCATAAAGGTCAAAGAGCATGCACGCTTAAAAGTCAACAATCCAAACATTGTAATGTTTCTGTCCGGCAAAAAAAATGACATTCTGATTCAGTCAGCAGCAACGGGGAGGCCCTTGGACAGCATAGCCTCTATTTGGCCGAACTAGAAATACAGGAAATGAAGGTGATCGTGCACTCGAGCTTATTGCCGCTGGTGGCTGTTGAAAAAGCAACAATAAGGAAGCATTGGAAGCACTGGGGCGATTATGCAACACACAAGCCACAATGTAGAATGTAATACCTTATGAATGACACCGTTGGTTTTCCATGCCCGGCCCCGAAGAGTCCATTTGGTGGCGATCAAAGTCATGCAGTTCCATGAAGGGATTGTGCGCCACAAATGTCATAACTCTCGCTGTCTCGTAACTTTCACCCGGAGTTTCCAGGCGCGGAAATATGGCGAACGGGCGAGTCCACACGGGTGAAATCCTCGAAACCGATTTGCTGCAACCGCTCGTTCACGTCGTAGTCACAATGTTCCACATTGTATCCGCGAAATCGTGCTTTTCCTGGAAGTCCGCAACTTTTCTCTCCCCCGCTCGGCCGACTTTTCAGTCTCGCGCAGCCACAGCGTGTGGAAACGCTGCGATTTCCGCACGTTGGAACGTGGCGCGGTTAGAGTGCGCCGTTGATCGAAAGTCGCGCAACATAACGCACGGAATGCTACGGTTTAAAAAAAAGGTGTGTAAATGGACAGAAATTGGTGCAAAAAAAGTAGCGAAGAACGCCACACAGCGCCTCACCCACAAACAGATCAGAGCTTATCCTGTTTTCCAACCTGCAGCCTTAGCCCCGCCCATTGCATCCTCGTACGCTCGTTTTGTTGCACCGCTTAGCCCGAAGCGGGCGGAGCCGCGTCAATATTTCGGTCATTGCAGCGTTTCCCAAGCTCTATTGAGTCAAGCCACCAATTTTAAACCTCAAAAATCGCACAAATAGTATGAATACAGGGACTGAAATGTATTAGAATTAGAATTGAAACTTGGCCATGTTTAATTTTTGTTTAAGTGTGTGCTTATCACTATATGTAGTTCATGAAAATCAAATGTGGTCCTCGAGAACAAACGTTTCCTCACGCCTTGTGTTTGTGTATCACGTGATGGTTTCAATGAGGAGAAACGATGCAAATAAATATTATTTTAAAAAATATTTGACAGTATAAGTCGGGTGGACAGTTGTTGGAAACGTATTTGCTAAATACTGTAAATATATTTCCAAAAAATTCATAAATTGTATTTACTACAAAATAATACACCTATAGATTGATCCAATCGATGTCAGTTACAGATGGTGACAAGCAAATTTCAATACAGTATCAACTTTTTGTGAACATTTTATTTGGTGGCGTGTTATGAGAGGTTTAAAATGTAGATCGTGTGCGTAAAGGAATTGGGGAACACTGGTTGGAAAAACCGAACATGCCTCTTCAATTAATTTTGTTTTTGTAACATTTGGACGTCGTCATGAATACTGCATAACGTTTACAATTCTTCAGCATGAATACCCACCAATAAACAGCCTGTTTAGCCTGACTATTTGTGCAAATTCAGTTTGTGTGCGAAAAAAAAGCCTACGTGATTGTGTTGTACTGTAGGTGGGGCGGGGGAGATGGTTGCCATGGTGATTCTGCGGCTCATTCAGGAGCTTTTATGACGTCACCGTTACCCCTGTAAGCGGCGGCTGTGGCCATTATCAGCTGGCTAGCTCAGCTCACGTTTTCGACAATGCCCCCCATCGCCGTCCCTTCATCCGCACGATAAAGGAACCGTAGGAATGACGTGGCCGTCGAGAAAGGGCCCATGGAGGCTCTTTCCCGGAGTCCCACCGGTGCAACCGAACGAGGTAACGCGGGGACGAGATCGCGGGGGCTCGCTGCTTAGCCACCGCGGAGTAAACATGCTAGCTGGCGTTGAGCACCGCCTCGTTTATTTTCTGCCTTGCAGCTCTCTCATACCTATCTATTTTTTACTAACCATACCTATCCACTGTTCTTATCATTATGCTTTAGGCTGCAGTTAAAATCGGCTAAAGCTAGCTGCTAACCGCTGGCTAGCTCCAGATTTGAATGTCATGCACAATCAATTTAAAGTCTCCGAAATCCCACTTTAAAATACACGAATTAAAGACATGAAGGTATGTGCAGTGTATAACCTTACCTATCACAACTGCCGGTGTCAGCTAATGTGGTTTAAGGAGTGAATTGATTGTTTGCAGTGATGGGTTGGTGCCACTGATGTCAGCTTCTGACTGCAGCAGAGAGCACTCACCATGAGTGGAGAGCATACAGACATCCTGTCAACGGCAGATGTGGTCAGGGACAGATGGAGAGTGGTAAGAGCTAACTAGAGGTACCCTTTACTATTTATTTAAGCATAAGATACACTTTAGAGCTAACTAGAGGTAACCCTTCTTATTTAAGCATAAGATACACAGAGCAATAATTTTCATATTATGGTAATGTGAACAGGTTGTCACAAATATTTTGTTTTTTTTTACTGACATTTTTTGTTCGAATATTTCATCTCACGGTAAAAGAAGACACTGACTTACCTTTATTTGCTCGTTTTCTTATTTTATGATTATGTACCACTTGGGGTTTCTATTTGAATGTGTATTTTAAATGTGACTTTACAATGGAACCGAACAATTTTGAGAAAATAATCGAATTGCGATGCCCCCAGCCCCCTCAGTATTGCTATTGAAATTTAATATGTGATTATTTTTTTTGAAAACAAAAACAAGCAGTAAATTAATCTGTATTACAACAAAACAATGAGATTTTCAACTGCCGAAAGACAACTGAGATAGGCTCCTGCATGCCTGCGACCTGATGTAAAACTGCTCCGCAGGTCAGAAAGATTGGCGGAGGTGGCTTCGGGGAGGTCTACGAGGTCCTGGACCTACTGAGCCAGGCCACCGTTGCAATGAAGGTGGAGTCTGCCACACACCCCAAACCGGTGCAGAGGACAGAGGCAGTCGTGTTGAGGAAGCTGCAGGGTGAGTGACACTTTGCCGCGCAAACAAAAATCTGCTTCCAGTGCTTGAAGATGCAGTGTCGAGGAATCAAGGGTGTGCCTCTTTGCATTCACCGCACCTAAATATAATGATGACAAAAGCATGAAACATGTAGAATGGATGTTGAAGTGCAAAAAGTGTGCCTCATGAATTGTAAGACATGAAGTCAGTTGCTAATCCTCAGGTAGGAAAAAAAAAGTACGGTACATTAGTGCACAAGAGCACAAACTTGTGCTTTCAAGTAGAGTAAAAGGTTAGAAAATAATGCATATGAAGCAACTGCATGATGATTAGTTGCTTGCAACGTGATATCTGGATCAATACGTCAATAATACAAGATAAGATAAGAAAATTGTTACGGATATTGATATAAATCATACTCTTAAAAAAAAGAAAACTTTGACTGTGTGCGACTTGTTTTTATTAATGTGTATCTTCAAGTACACGAAAAGAGTTCAGGATATAGCCTTGAATGCAACCGTCCACCCCTTTATATTTAATTTTATTAGTATTTTTTTTTTCCAACAGGCAAAGATAATGTGTGTCGCTTTGTCAGCGCTGGCCGAAACGAACGCTTCAACTATGTGGTGATGGAACTCCAGGTAGGCTCTTCACAAGGTTCCCATGAGTTACGCAAGACTTTAATATTAACATTGTGTTTGAAGAATGCTTGCATTTTGGTATAAAGTACAGTCTATAATCAAACATTTCCAAAGTTGTAAAGTGCTTCAAATGCTTGGAAAAGTATTCGAAATATTCTTGCGTTTGGCCTTCACTTCCGATGCAAAACCTAGTTTCCTAGTGTTGTGCCTGACAGGTTCCACACAGTCTGTTGAAAAATACTATTTTAATTCCACTGTACTTGTATTTTAAAACAGGACTAATGAATGTTATCACGACTCTATGTTGTAATTGTCCAAAGGGGAGGAACCTGGCCGATCTGCGGAGAAGCAGGGCCCGCGGTACGTTCTCAGTGTCGACGACTCTGAGGCTCGGCAAGCAGATTTTACAGGGCATTGAAAGCATTCATTCAGTGGGCTTCCTGCACCGCGACATTAAACCAGTAAGACAACAGCTACCTGAAGTCGTTTACTGTATTTTCATATTCCAAATTTTACTATTTATAACCGGCCCTTGAACTTTCTTTTATGTCATTCACAGGCTAACTTTGCAATGGGAAGACTAGCAAGTACTTGCAGGTGCTGCTACATGCTGGACTTTGGTTTGGCCCGACAGTACATGACCTCCAACCAGGAACTCCGTCCTGTAAGTACCCTCAGAACTGATTTGCGAGTCCACCTGTCAAAATAAAATCTCGACTATTAAAAAGGTTTTCATACCACAATGCATAAAGGAATCTCAAATGTGCTTGGAACAACTTTTTTTTTTCTAGCCTCGGTCTGTGGCTGGCTTCAGAGGAACTGTGCGATATGCTTCAATCAATACTCATAAAAATAAGGTGACTAGACATTTCCCCCCGTGTGTTGTCTTTCGTTACCTCCACCAAGGAGGTAGAAACTGGTCTAGGGGATGTTCAATGCAGAGGGAAGCCTAAAAAAAATTAGAAAGGTTTAAGACAGTAAACTCATTTCATTGAACGTGTGACAAGGTTAGCATCATTTGAACAAATATGCAAAGATTTTGAAAATCATTTGTGGTAGGCTGTATGCATTGTCTGTTTTCATTTGGTGTGTGATTTTTTTTTTTTTTCTGACTCTGCAGGAAATTGGTCGTCACGACGATCTATGGTCCCTCTTCTACATGTTGGTTGAATTCATGTCTGGTCAACTCCCATGGAGGAAATTTAAAGACAAGGTACAGTATGCGCATCCGCTAACGTACAATACGAATGTTCACCTGCCAACGCATTAGGTACCCTGCTGAAAAATGTAACGTTATTATCTTTGTAAAAGCGTGTGTCGCCTCTATGTGTCTCAATTGTATTTGAATCCTCCTCTCCAACAGGAACAAGTCGGAAATCTCAAAGAAGCATACGACCACCGCCTCATGCTTAATCACTTACCATCTGAGTTTAGCGCATTCCTGGATCACATCCTCAGCCTGGACTACTATACCAAACCCGACTATGAGGTTGGCCATGAGCTCACGTTTGCATTATCATGTTTGGTTCTCTCTCGACTGCCAAAATGCTGACGCGTATGTCCTCCCCCCCTCCTTTCCCCCGTGACAGCTGCTGATGTCACTGTTTGACTGCTCTATGAAAAGCCACAATGTGCTGCACAATGATCCCTACGACTGGGAGAAATGCGACTCGGAGGACATGCTGACCGCAGCTGCGGCGCCACCGACCGGCCAGGAGCTCACCCGCCTCACACCAGCTCACTTGGGGTACACATATGCATGCACAGTCATGATGTTGTTATTCCTTCACATTTTTCCCACTGTAGAACTGGAAGGTTTTTTTGCTCTCGAGAGTGACCTTCCCTCTCTGTTTTGTGTTCTCTCGCTCTCTCTTTCTAAAGCATGGCCAATGCCTCAGTGCTGCCGGTGGAATTGCAGAGGGAGAACACAGAGGATGTCCTCATGCTCGGAGAGCGCTTCAGTGACGCCGACAACTGTCCTCCTATCCCCCCTGCGTCCGTTCCCGCAAGAGCCATATGGGATGAAATGGACCGCATTCAAACCCGGAAGCATGTCGAGCCAGTGATCCGGAAGGTTAGTTGTGCGCTGGTTGGTTGGTTGGTTGATATCCTCGCATGTGTTGCAAGGACATCATTTTGCGGGTTACTTATTTTTTTATTTTTCAGGTGGTGACCGAGGAAGAGCATAGTCAGAACCAGGGCAACCAAAGCCCTGCTGGCTCCGCGCAGAGTTCTCCAAGGCGAGTACGATCCGAGACGCTGTACTTGGACCGAGCTGTGCCGCTGCTCCGGAAGATGCGTCAGAGTCAGAGTTTGGCGTTTGAAAGGAGACTTGCACCTGAACCCAAGCCTACTCTTGAGCGCTTCCTTGAGTCCTGGTTAGTGCTTCAAATATATCATACTATTATCCTATATGCTGAACCATCATTTATTGCAGCAGATACGGTCCAGTCCCACATGAAAATCTGTGATATAGAGAAGCACATAAACCATGGTGTAACGCAGGCTCTCATTGCTTAATTGTTTGTCATACTATTATCCTATATGCTGAACCCTCATTTATTGCAGCAGATATTCCAGTCCCACATTAAAATCTGTGATCTAGAGAAGCACATAAACATGGTGTAACGCAGGCTCTCATTGCTTAATTGTTTTTTTTTTTTAATTTTAGTCGGGGCAAAACGCCTCCTGTCCTTTCTCACATCGGGGAGAAAGTCTTGTCCGACGATCATTCCGGCGCGGGTACAGCTGACCCGGAGGAAGGGGCGGTCAGCAGCGGTTTTGTAGCAGTCAAC